GGGGGCCCCCCGGGGGGCCCCCCCCCGCTGGGGTTTTGCTGCTGCCTGGGGGGGCAGATGCAGCGGACGGGGAGCTGCTGCCGGAGGTGAGAGCAGCGCAGCAGCGGCTGGGGCTGCTGCAGCAGCAGCTGCTGGCAGCAAAGGAGGAGCTGGAGGAAGCTGCTGCGCTGCAGCAGCAGGACGAGCCGGACGGCGCAGCAGCAGCAGCAGCAGCAGCAGCAGCGCTGCTGCTGCCGGAAGAAGCAGCAAAGGAAATGGAAGCCCTGGAGCTGGAGCTGCAGCTGCTGAAGCAGCAAAGGGCGCAGCTGGAGGCCATTTATAAACTGAAGCAGCAAATTGCTGCTGGAGAAGCAGCAGCAGCAGCAAAAGCTGCTGCTGCAGTGGCGCTGGACCGGCGCTGCAGCAGGCCGCTCGGGGTGTACAGACACATCGCGCTGCTGCGCAGCAAGTTCCTGGAAAGCGGCAGCAGCAGCAAAGCAGCAGCAGCAGCAAAACTCAGCAGCAGAATCTCCGAAATCCTCGGGGGCTCCCGCAGAGTGTGGCCAGGGGCCCCCTGGCGGCGAGAACTGGAGCTGCTGCTGCAGCAGGAGCTGCTGCAGCAGGAGCTGGGGGCCCTCAGCAGCAAAATCCAACGCAAACAACTTGCTGCTGCTGCTGCTGCTCAGGGGCCCCTCTCGAGGGCCCTCGAGGGCCTCCGGGGCTCTTCGGCGCGGGCGCTGCGCTGGACTGCTGCGCTGCTGCGGCTGCCGTGGGGCGCAGCAGCAGCAGCGCCAGCAGCAGCAGCAGCAGCAGCAGCAGCAGCAGCGCGGGAAGAGGAAAGGAAGCAGGAAGCAGCAGAAATCCTCAAACTCGAAACAGACTTGCATGCGCTCCGTGCTGCACTTGCCAAAGACTCCCAAGTCCAAGTGCTGCAGTCCATGGGCACTGAGGCCTTCAAGAAGTGGCTCGAGCAGCAAACGGAAGCAGCAAGAGCAGCAGCAGAAACCATTGCTGCTGCTCTCAGCAGCTTGCCTGCTGCAGCACCAGAAGCTCTCGCCCCCACCAAACAAGCCAAAGAAATATATGCCGAAGCTCTTCTGGGGGCTTCCGCTGCTGCAGCAGCAGCCCTCAACGCCCTCGACAAGTAGCTGCTCCTGCTGCTGCTGCTGCTGCTGCTGCTGCTGCTGCTGCTGCTGCTGCTGCTGCTGCTGCTGCTGCTGCTGCAGTGGAAGTTGGAAGCAATTTAGACTTTGTTTGCATATTAGTTTATTTTTAATTTGTAGTTCGCGCTTACCTGCGCTGAGCCTCCGCGGCGACTCCCATTTCACGTTTTGCCGAGCGGCATTTTCTTGATTTTGGAATCCGACTTCAATTCTTTTATTTATTCTTTCTTTTAATTCTTTAATTTTTATTTGTTCTTTATTTCTTTATATCTAGCTGCTGCTGCTGTTGCTGCTGCTGCTGCTGCTGCTGCTGCCGCCGTTCGGCTGCGTTGTTCAGATTCCTGCGGCAGCAGAAATGTCTTTCAACTCTAGCTCGCTAATTTCAATGAACTTAATTAGTTTCATTTGATTTAATTGTTTTTAATTAGTTTTAATTGGTTTTAATTTGTTGAATTCGTTTGATTTGTGCATTTGGTTTTAGTTTTGCAAGTGCAGTGGCTGCAGCGGCGAGCAGACAGCGGGCAGTTCAAGAAAGCGGGGGCTCGGGTGTATGTCGAATCTGAATTAAATAAAGTAAAATAAAGTTTTGAATTTGAAATTCTTTCAAATAAATAGAATTGAAAAGGCGGACCTTTTATTAAAAGTGGCTTTCTGGTCTTTTGCAAGAAAGCTGAGGCCGCGGGGCTGGAGCTGCACTTGCGCTCGAGGGCGGAAAGCTGGCGAAAACTTCTTCTTCCGGATTTGAAAATTTGAAAATAAATTAAAAATGGAAAATGAAAAGCAAATGGAGTTTTTGGAAGGCTCACGGAGGCGGGAAGCTGGAGGATCGGCGGCGTTCAAGTCAGGGCTCGGAGAGGAGCTGCTTGCTTTCTTCTTCCAAGTCCACGGGCTGCAGCGGCGCTGCTGCTGCTGCTGCTGCTGCTGCTGCTGCTGCTTGCGACTGAGTCCGCAGCAAACTGTAAAGAGCAGCAACAGCGAAGCAAGAAGTGGAGAGAAAGGCCAGCTGGGCCGCCAGCGCATGCAGACTGGCGAAGTTGAAGACCAGCTGCTGCCGCAGCGGCGCTGCGCCCCACAGCAGCGGCTTGCCCAGCAGCAGCAGCAGCAGCAGCGCGAGCGGCAGCAGCAGCAAAGTGAACAGCAGCGCGCACAGCGTGAAGAAGGGGGCCCCTGCTGCGCTGCCCGCCAGGGCCCCCACTGCAGCAAACAGGCAAGTGAGGCCCTCCGCCAAAAACACAAGTCCTATTTTGTTCATTTTCACGAGAGGGTCTTCGGAGATTTTAATCCAAAAAACGCTCAAGTCCAAAACGGCCACTGCGAGGCAAAAGAGGCCCCAAAGCGCTGCAGTTTGCTGCAGCGAAAGGCCCACTTTCCAGGTCCCCAGCGGCCCCATCTTCAGCGTCCCGCTGCTGCTGCTGCTGCTGCTGCTGCTGCTGCTGCTGCTGCTGCTGCTGCTGCTGGGCCGCAGCTGCTGCGCGCTCTTGCCCTCGAAGCCAGAGCCGCCCGCGGCGAAGACTGCCCCCAGAGAGGCGTAGACGCGAGTCATGGGAAATGCGGAGAAGACCGAATAAAGAAGATCTGGATTTCCCCAGAGGACAAGTTCTCCGAGAGTGGCGTTGGAAGACAGCAGCAGCACCCCGAAGGCCGTCCAGAGGTGCAGCAGCAGCAGCAGACTCAGCAAGCTGCTGCAGAGGTTCAGCCAGGCCAGCAAGAACGCGGCCCGCGCGGACTTAGTGCAAATCGCCAAGTCCGTCAACAGACTCTGCAGCAAAAAGCCCACGGCCAGGGCCAAAAAGCCCCCCCGAAGGGCCGCTGCAGCGAAGCCGCCGCGGCCCCAGTAGGCCTCCACTGCGGCCTCCGTGAAGCTGCGTTTCCAGGGGAAGACTTGCAGAAACAGCAGCAAGTTCCAGCCGCCCGCGGCCGCCAGCAGGAAGGAGTGCGTCCACGCCGCCGCCGCCAGCGACAGGCCGAACTTCCAGGGCTCTTTGCGCCAAAACATTTCGAAAAACTCCTTTGAAGGCCTTTTGGACTCTCCAAACCCCGCAAGCACTCACTGACACGCAGCCGCGCGCGCCGCCCGCCCAAGTCGCACGCGGAAAGCGAGCCAGATCTTCCTTTTCGCGCGCGATCACTTCAAAATTGAAACTTCTAGAAACTTCTTTTGCAGTATTTCACTCGAAAATGCAATAATGAAACTCCAAACTGAACTGCGAGCCCGCGGCCGAAGCTCCCGCGAGTCGGCCGCGGTGACCAGCGGTTCGCCTGCGAGCCGCGTCCGCCGTGGCTTTCTCTCCCATTTCCGAATTCCAAAAACGAAATCCGCACGCGCTTTTTCCAAAATTAAAACCCATATTACTTCTTAATTTATTTTCTCTCAATTTATTCGTGTCTGCAAACAAAATAATAAAGTGAAACCCCAAACTGCATCGAGGCGCCGCTGCAGTCGGCGGTGCTGCGCGTACACCCCAACACCACCCCGGGGAAACCGCAGCCTCCACTTCGAATTTCGCAAATTCAAATTTCAAAATACTTTTTAAAATACTTTTTAAAATACTTCTTTTCGAATATTTTCTTTTTTGGATCTTCACGCGCCGAGTGAACGCCGCGAGATCTCTCTGCCGCGCTGTCTTAGACAGGATTGCAACATCGAAGCGGATTCAGGTTTCCCGCGCAGCTCGAGAAGCTGCAGCAAACGACTAAGCCTTCAGGCCCTCATATTTATATTTACTCTTATAATTATATTTATATTTTATATTTGTATTTACTCTTTTATTTATATTTAATATTTTATTTAAAATGACAAAACTGCTGCTGCAGCGAGCAGCAAACAGCCAGGCTTCGTTCTAGCCACCCACAGCCACTCAAAGAATATAAAAAGGCCGCTGTCACTTCTTCTGCAGCAAACACTACAGGTGACCACTGGTCACCAGCCACTGGCCTGGCTGGCCAGCAGCTGTCCATTATATATAGATATATATATATATGTATATATATATATATATATATCTATATATAATATATATATATATATTATATATATATATGTATATATATATATTATATATATATACATATATATATTATACTCAGTAAAAATCTATTAATATTCTATCTTGGGAAGCAGCTAACAAATGACTAGAAAGAGGTGGAGAAGAATGAGTGAAGGAAATTCCTTTTTATTGTTAGTCAGCTTTTGTTGCAAATGAAGTGAAGACTATTTCGAAAAAGTTGCATTTAAATGGAATTATTATTTAAATGGAATTATTAATTAAATGGAATTATAATTTTAATGGAATTATTAATTAAATGGAATTATAATTTTAATGGAATTATTAATTAAATGGAATTATTATTTAAATGGAATTATTAATTAAATGGAATTATTAATTAAATGGAACTATTAATTAAATGGAATTATTGTTTAAATGGAATTATTAATTAAATGGAGTTATTAATTAAATGGAATTATCATTTAAATGGAATTATCATTTAAATGGAATAATAATTTTAATGGAACTTTTATTTTAATTGAATTCAGTTCAGAAGATGAAACAGACAAAACCTTTCCCTGTTCTCAAAGGACTCAATTGTGCAGAACAAATCGCGAAAGGAAAGCAACAAAAAGAGAAACGCAAGCAACGCCTGCTTGCGCTGCTGCTGCTGCAGCAGCTGCTGCAGCAGCTGCAGCAGCAGCTGCTGCAGCAGCTGCTGCAGCAGCAGCAGCAGCAGCTGCGGCAATAGCTACCGCAACAGCTGCAGCAGTAGCAGCTGCAGCAGCAGCAACTGTAGCAGCTGCAGCAGCCACAGCAGCTGCTGCTGCTGCTGTTGAAGTTGCAGCAACTACAGCAGCAGCAGCAGCTG